AAACTGAAATTCATACCTCCGCCAAATCAGCGCCCAGCACGTGTCGCTGAGGCTCGATTCTTTGTACGAACGATACGTCGTACGGGTAACTGCGAAAGATATGGATTTATTACGAGATTCGTAGATCGCACAACGAAAACGTGATAAAAACTTGCGCTATCCTAACTTTTGTTAGTCGGGACGTCTAATCTGGTATCCTTTATGCTTTTCAAGATATATATACATACACGCAGGTACGTACACGATGGTTTTAAAGCTTGAAGAACTCTTTGTTAACTTGTCTGAACATTTTTCTGAGCAACGTGAATATTTACAATTGTAACATTGATCTTTAAATGTATGAAAGTGAATTGTGAATTAATGAAGAAACGGTTGTTATAAAAGAATGTATATAATTAAACAAAGAAATATAAAGATGGTGTGAGAAAAATAGAACTTCAGTTCTGTTGAATGTTTAAGAATTTTGATTAATTATGAAAAAGACAATTTTTACGTCATTCAGGCTGAACACAAGCTATATTTTTATCTGACTTGCGATTAGTCGAACTAATTTCAATAATTTCTCGTACACCGAAGGAAAAGACGTCGTTATCGTTTAACTTTTTTCAGTCTTCGTTCCTCTTCTGCGTTACCACGAAAAAAGTTTCTCGAGTCCAGTGAATTCGTTGGCGTGAATGCATCGAAATTATCTTCATTAAAAGCGAGAATTTTATGAAGTCACTGTCAGTGGCCGTCATAAATCGTTCAATTACGTCGAGCAGACGGAATCTCGTAATGAAAATTTCTTAAAAAAAGTCTTTTTCTTTCTTTTTTTTTTAAGGCAGCGCAATCCAGGGATGAAAGGACACGTTTACACCATCGAATGGGTGCATGCATTTTTTCGTAGGTGCATTAACGCCCATTAAATAGCTTTACAAAGTAACAGCTGCGAATTCCTTTTTCGCCAAGGGTAATTAATTAATCGCACGTTCTTTTGATGTACCCATATAAATTACATCTCCACTCGGGTCGGCTCTCAGACGAGGCCGCAGAATTTTTTAATGCATCGAAAATCTAATGTACCTCGAGCCCAATGCGCAATATCACAATAGAGGGAAAAAAAAGTTGAGAACGAACGGGGAACGATAGGATTAACGCTAGCGCGAGTTCGTTACTTTTGCATAATCTGCCCCTCGACTGGCGGAACGAGTTGTTTGTTCGTGTCTGCAGTAGCGGAAATTTAACGAACAAATATTATGACAAAATGAACTTTTAAAACGAACATTTTGGTTTACTTTAAGCGAGAATAAGTAATCGAGCGAATCGGTGAACTACAAGTAGGGAAATCTCCACGTGATAAACGTAACTTATCACGTCGTTAATCTTAAATTAAAAACATCTAACTCATCGAACAACAAATGAATCTTTTAATTCCTCGACTATATTTGCTTTTAATTCCAGTGCGAAAAGTACACTGACATTTTCCACCCCGAAAATCGACCTATGCCGTTTTTCAAGAAATTCTACATTCTATTTAAAATCCATTTGACCGAAGTAAAAAATTATTTTCTCTCAATTATTACCGTTAAATTCTCTATATTCTCTGTGTTACAATTTTTACATAATAAATTTACATTCAAATCGAAATCTCCGATCTTAACTAAAATATAATCTTTTGTGGTAAAAAGTATTTAAAAGATATTTCGTTATCTAAAGGATAATTAAACCCAGCGCGGTTTAAGTTAATTCAGACGATCAAGAGCGGGTTCTTCGAATGCGACATGGTATAGCTGTAAATCGCCAGGGGATGCAAGAGTTCCTCCACCCTTTGCTTTTCTCCCTTATCTACATTAATCTTCTCCTCCATTGGGACACAGTGCAAAAGAAAATAAGATTGATGAGTAGCATGGCTTAATTAATGCGAGGCATCTAGATGTTAGAGAGGTACATCGAACAACTGAGTCGAGGCTGAAGTGAACAGCGGCTTGATTCATATTTAAATCTGGGAACTTAATGGCATTGTCTCCATTCATTCACTTGCCGAACTTCTCGCTGACAGTCGTCAACGACACGAAGTATATTTGGGTCACATTTAAATTAAGAATCATGAGAAACAAAACTCGGGAAAAATGAGAAAAATGTTCGCGTATCGTTGACCAGGTAAAACAAACGTCGCGCCGGTATGTCCCTTGTCGTTTATTTTTTCTGACCTAAATACCTCGTCGTTTGCTTCGCTTCTACGATCACGATTTTACAAAACACTTTCATGTGCAATTCAAAACCATTTCGTACCTTTTTGCCTATACTTTTTTACACTATACGCTATTTTTCGTTTCAAAATCCCGTACGTGACTTGTGCGTGACTTTGTCCAATGATTTATGAATTACTGTCTTATGGAACATAGCGATGATACATTAATTGTTCTATTCGTAATTTAGACAGTTTTATTGAAATTAAATTTTTAATTGTTACTTGAATTATAGTTCAAGTAACAATTTCTTTATAATCTTTCGTTTGTAGTTTGTTGTTCCGAACGTATTTTAATTTTTCCAATTCCCACTGTGCCCATTCCTTGTAATTCAAAAAGCATCTGTTATAACAAGACTTTTTTCTTCAATTATAGACGAGAGAGAGGTAACGATTATTACTTCCTTCGCTTTGAACATTTCATATTATTCGCAATTTATCATAAAAGGAAGGAATTTCCTTCGCGACGTCTGTTTGAACGGAAGCAACCTATCAATTTCAGCGAGATTTCGTTTCCCTTCGCCGATTTACCGAGACACCACATAACCCAATAAAAAGCCGACACGATACAATATAAATATCGTTGACCTAAAACGAAAGGAAGTAATCAGTTTCTCGATGAAAACGGTGAATAGAATTACCAGATTCTACAAAGGGGAGCTACTGAAATGTAAACGGGTTATGGAAGACGGGCTCCAAAATCACTGGCTTCGTCCCAATAAAGATTGATCGATCTAACGATACACGTATTATTCTGCCCGGCTATTCGTTCTCCAGAATTCACAATGCTTCTGATTACACGACATTGTAAATCCATTCTTCCACCATTCGTCTTCTTCGTTCGTCATTTGTAAATTTGCATTTCCTTCGACGCGATCGGAACATATTGCAAGATTGAATTTCATAGAAGGAAAATTCATTTCCTGAAGTTACTTTTTCCATCAAATAAATCCCTATCTCAATAGGTCACAATACTTCTCACACAAGAACTACAATTTTCACGTAATAGTAGAAATAACTGATACACGCGTTCTAATATTTATTGAATATGATATGAATTATGAACTGCATTACACGAAAAATTGGAAAACTAAAATGACTAGAGTGTTTGAATATTAAATATAATATTTGTCGTGTTTCACTGATATCGTAACAATGAAGAAACAAAACTGGAAGAAATTTGCTAATTTCGAACAAGTTAATAATGATCACTTCTTGACTCGGAACAAGCCAATTCTCTTCGTGTTAACACAGAGGTTACGAATTACAGATAAAGCTTCTTCAGTTGCTTCAATGAAGGAGCAGGAACTTCTGATCCGCCCAAGCTCACACTTATTAGCCTGGACAACATAATACCGGCGTGCCAAGGCAGCGAAAACACGAATACAGGTAGTGCATGCACGCCAGGAGATATTAGTCTCAGGAAGGGTTAACAAGAACTCGATGCCAAGAATGCAGGATACGAACGATATTCCGCAGATTCTACCGACAATTTATTTGGATTGTATACCGAGAGAAGTATGTCAGAGAACTCGTCAAGAAATTATCATCAATTTTCAATTTACAACTAGATACTAATGCATTTTAGATTGAGGATTTTTTAAATTTTAGATTATGATTATAGATCAAATATTCTAAATGTAATATGCATTTGGGTAAAACAAATTTTTTCCATACTTATATACAAACAAACATGTGTGTATTTATCAAAATTTAATTAACAGACTTAATTTTCCTAATTCTTGTATCTTTTGAAATTTCGAGGTTCCTTTGTAAATTCTCAAAAATTTATTTTAATGAAAGAACTATGAAAACAGGGGAGAACTGTAATTCCACAAATGTCTACCCCTACACAAAAATAGAGCCTGATAACCCGAAGTTCCTTTAAAATAATTGCAGGTATCGGAGGAAACAGGGAGAAAATGGTCCATGAACACGTTGTATTCGCCCTCGTAGCTATGTTAATTACAGTTTAGGAGTTCGGTGTCTATTTACCCGAGGCCGCGACGACAAAAAGGGGATGCGCGTAATGCCTTTCGAAGTTTGATTACGTATGTCGACGCCTCTCCAAGAGTTGCGAATTTTCGAGCGGGACCAGGTCGCGTAGTTTTATGCAATCAAGCGGCCCCAGAATCTCGCCGCTGGCGGTGAAACCGTAATTTGAACTTTTGCGCTGTTCACGCTTCAAAGCGTGTCCCGCACGAAAACTAACTGAAAGACCCTGATTAGGTTAAAAATTATCTGCTACCGTTGTTCCCGCCGTTTTTTTTTTGAGAAAATCTTGCAACGCAGCTGATACCGTAAAAAGTATTCATTATTTCGGGTAGAAGGAGATATTAATTTATAACGATATTGATAAAATACATATAATAATACGACATATGGCATATAATAATAAAATAATGTCGTCTAAATGTGCAGGTCGTACCATATTATATTCCTATTCTATATTTATTTCACATCCTTACTCTGTTATTATTTTATAACATTTGAATCTTTCATAATACTTTATAAAATATTTAAAGTACTGTAAGAGGCTGTAGGTGACGATACTTGTCTTAATATAATAAATATAATCAATACAGATTTAACATATTATTGTAGTATATATATATTCTTTATCATATATATATATGGATACTATTGTATATTGTATATTTTTATATTTAAAAATAAATTGTCCAGAAAAATCATTATTAGTAAAACAGACAAATGTTAGTCAATACTTCTTGAAAACTAAGATAAATAAAACAAAATTATTAATGTTATTCACCATTTTGCAGATCCGATGAGTAGTAGCTTCCTGGCGTCATTTACCGCTCTTGTGTCCAAAATATTCCCTTAACCGCAACTAAAAACATAATGAAGTCCTTTATTTACCACCTTTAACAATAATTCGTAGTTAAAAATTCATTTGACATACCTCTTAAATTGTCTTCGAAAGAAATTCAAACCAACGAAATACGAACGAAACAAATAATCCACGCGCGATAAATAACTTTAAAACGTCGAAATAACATAATTTATAGCGGAAACTGTGAAATTTTTCTTCGAAACTATCCATTTCGAATCGGACAGTCAACCACGGTACGCACAAAAACGTTTGGCAACTGTTACTCGCGAGGTGCGTGACTGTGGCGCCACCACGCAACTTCGAGAATCGAAGCGGCTCGAGAATCGAAGGCGAGTCGAGTCGTTCGCACCACGTCACGTTGCTCCGGAAACAAATGTGTATCGTTCACAATGGACGATTTTTAGTGTCGAGAGTAAATCGGCACTGTTGTGAATCTCAATTTTGCGTGACGTTCGTCTGAAATTTACAACTTGTTAAACTTCATATCGGTTTGAGAACGACGCTTGATAAACGCTTGATAAACTCCTTTATTGACATATTTATTCAATAATTCGTCGTTAAAAATCACTTGGCGTACCTCTTCAATTGTCTTCGAAGGAAATTCAAACCAATGAAATACGAATGAAACAGATAATCAACACGCGATAGATAACCTCAAAACGTCAAAATAACGTAATTTATTGCAGAATGCGTGGGTTTCTTTCTTCAAAAGATCCATTTCGAATCGGACAATCAACCACACTACGTGCACAAACGTTTGGCAACTGACTGCTACTCGCGAAGTGCGTGACTGTGGCGCCACCACGCAACTTCGAGAATCGAAGCGGATCAAGAATCGAAGGCGAGTCAAGTCGTTTGCACCACGTCACATTGCTCCGGAGACAAACGCGTATCGTTCACAGTGGACGATTTTTAGTGTCGAAAGTAAGTTAACGCGGTTGTAAAGCTCAATTTTGTGTGACGTTCGAAATTTGCGACTCGGTGAATTTTGTATCGGAGAACGACACTTGACAAATATGATAAACTCTTTTTCCATATTTAACAATAATTCGTTTAACATATCACTTAAATTGCGTTCGAATGAAATTCAAAGCAATGAAATACGAAAGAAATAATCAACAGACGTGCGATAGATAACCTTAAACGTTAAACTGTCGTGAGATTTTTCTTCGAAATATTCATTTCGAATCAGACAATCAACCACAATACGTTTGGTAACTGACTGTTACTCGCGAAGTGCGTGACTGTGGCGCCACCGTGCAACCTCGAGAATCGAAGCGGATCGAGAATCGAAGGCGAATCCAGTCATTCGCAGTATGTCATATTGTTCCAGAGACAAACACGTATCGTTTACAGTGGACGATTTTTAGTGTCGAAAGTAAGTTAACGCAGTTGTGAATCTCAATTTTGTGTGACGTTCGTCCGGAATTCGCGACTCGGTAAACTTCGTATCGGTTCGAGAACGATGCTTGATAATTCTGGAATAATTTACCCGACGGTGCCGGCCACCCGTGGGAAAAATACAGGGTCTCCTGGAAGAATCGTAGAAAATGCAGGATGCATAAATCTTATACCCTCACCGGTTCGCAATTTCAACGAAAAAGAAGCTTTATCTTCGATACACTCGGGATTGAGGAAACGGTTTTCCTTGTTTTACCTCGCGTTCCGTATCGATTGCCAGAGTCGATGTAACGTGGACTTTGTTAAGAAAGTGTTGAAGCTGTTACGTACTTGCGGCCTTCCAATCTTCGAACCTTCGATAATGCTGTAAGTTATTAACATCTAAATCATATTTCGTCCAAACGAACGAATGAAAAATGTGAATTCAAACATAAATTTGATCGAGGTGGACGAACATTCTTTCGTTTCGTCTAAACTATATGGTTGCACTATACTCTTATGTATTATGCAATATAGAAGACTTTAAAGAGATATATAGTAATTATATCAGTGTAAAATGTTTTTGATATCATGAAAAGCACTTATACAACATTCCATTCGTGATATATATTAAAATCTACTAGCAACATAATCCTAGAATATCTTGATCTATTACTACAAACTGGTAGCATTATGCAGATAAATTGTGGGCGCATGTTATTATTTACGTAATATTTTACCTTTAATTTTAAAAGCAATATCAATACAATTATAAATATTTATTCAATATCCTTCTTTTGCACGTTATAATATATTCAACGAATCATTGTAATCAAAACTACAGTTTAGCCTAACTGAATAATCGATTCACAATCGAAGAAATATTTATAAAATCAACTTGACATTTCGACGGTATTATTTTAAGACCAGCTTCCCGATTCCTAAGTTGTCGATGGAAGGAACGACAACGAGAATGTTTCATCACTTGCACAAACTTGGACGGCGTTATTTTACTCGACGTTCGCGAAAGAGAGAAAAGATAAAGGAGAAGTGTAAAGCGTGTCAAAGAGTCTCCTCGCGTTACCTTCATTCAAATAAAGCGCGTATTTTTCTAAGAACAGAATGTCAGACGTAATACAGTTTTTCACGGTGTTTTTCTTTAATGATTCTTCGCAGTGTCGACGATTCGACAGGATTTTCCTTTCATCTACGCTCTCTCCACGATTGCGTACGTATTTTCTTTCCAACGCGCTGTATTCTACTAGCAGGCGAGCAGACGTATACACAGCCCAAGGACTTGCTCATTTTCATGGAAACGATCGTGCTCTAAGAATTCTCTCTCGTTGAAAGTAGCGACCGTGTTTTACGTTTTGTATCGGTGCTGTCTAATGGTATTACATCGAGGAATCGTATCTTAAAGCACATCAGAATTCGACGTTTTTTAAAAGCACCTTTACTGCATTCGCATCACGATGTCAAACGACTACTTTCACATATGCGCAACTTTTTTACTTGAGTGATATGATACTTCAGGTCAGATAAATTTTTAAAGCGATAAATGAAATCTTGCGCTGAACTAAGATTCTTCCAATAATAGACTTTAATTTTCTATCTAATTTTCCAACGCGTGTCAAGTTCTATAATTTGATCTACAAATTTTCAATTTAAAGCCCCAAACAATTCTCTGTTCATCACGCGGACGATTCTATGTAAATCAAATTAATTTTAGAAACAAGTGAATAAGTAACTCGAGTCGAAATCAATCATACTTGAAATTACAATCAAAAGCAATTCAGCGCTAAATAGCTCTCGCTAATCAGTCGTATTTATCAGCAGAAATAAAATCATCGGACAGTTTTCCAATACTCTAATTGCCCTTTCGCTTCTACGGAAACGAATCAGACGGCCATGAAACATCCCGCCCGCGCAGCAAACTTCACGATCGCTCCATAACTTTAACATCAGATTTAACGTCAGTATTTCGTTCACTTTTTCTTTTTTCTCTCATTTTCCGTGAGATTACGATAATCTCAAGCTTGACAAGGGATAGCCTCGTTTCTCTTTTTCCCTTTTCTCGCTGTTTCTTTTTTTTTTTTTTTTTCTTCTTCTTTTTCGTCAATGGACAAATTGCGAAATGTTTCTTGGCTCCGCAATCACGAGATCAGAACGGAAACGTACCTGACCCCAAGTTTCTCCGGGACACCGGTCACGCGCGGCACGCTTTATTGGCCAAAAAAGAAACCGCGTGTACGGTCGCGTTTTCTTTTTTTTTTTTTTTTTTTTTTTTTTTTCCCGGGGGGGAGCTTTT